GCGGGCCGAGGTCTTCCCGCTCACGCTGACGCGTGTCCCCGTGTGGCACACAGCGCAGGGACCTGGGAGGGAACCGGGCAGCCCATGGCCCTCGGGCACCAGCAGAGAGACCAGGCGGGTGTGGGGACCTCAAACTGCCTAACCTGAGGCCGGCGACCCTGCTCTGTCTGGGAGCCGTGGTCTGATGGGGACGCCACCTCCACCCCACATAGCCCTCTTTCGATTTAAAAAAAATAATTTTATTTTTTCCAGCAATACTTTGTAAAACTTTGACTAGATAAAGAAGGGGCAAGCAGAACAGGCGACCAAGTTCGAGACTTGAACCGCGGTCGGCCACGTGGGAGTCCAGCGCCCCAACCCGCACACCACGTGCCCGCCCAAGCTCTGCCTTTCCTTTTTAAAAAGAGCCTTTTGCCTTGGGGGGGTGTGTTCTTGCCAGAGAGAGAGACAGAGACAGTGAGGAAGAAAATGAGAAATCACCCCCAGGGATGGCCACACTGCAATCTCTTCTCCATCCTCTTCCCGGGATCTTGGGCATGCACACGCGCCCGGCGTGAGTTTAAGCCACTGGGACAGGGACGCGAACCGCGGTCGACTCCGTGGGAGTCCAGCGACATAGCCGTTGTGCCAACTGCTAGTCCCGACCCGTGTACTTTTCAAGCTGCCTAGTCTGGGACTCGAACTGTAGTCGGCCATAAGGGAGTCCAGCGACGTAACCGCTACACCATCTGCTGGACTGGCTGGCTCTGCCTCTTTAACTTTTTTTTTTTCCCTAAATAAGTATTTAACTTTATTTTTTACTTATTTAAATTTGACCAGAGAGGGACAGAGTGAGAAAGTGAGAAAGCAAGCCACCGGGTCCAGGACTAGAACCGAGGTTAGCCATGTGGGAATCTAGCACCTTAACCACACACCACCGGCCTCTTAACGCACAGGCCTTGTAGGTCTTGTTGCAGAAACAGCTGCCGAGGACACAGCCTGAGCCTTGCAGCTCCTACCCAGGTCCTGCCCCTCCCACCTGCTCTCCCCACTGCGGGAGCCCCCTAGGGCGGCAGGGAGCTGTGGGGGAGCCTTGGGGGTAGGACAGGCCTGGGGAGCATTGGACCCCCTCCTCTGTGGCTCTAGCAGCACCCCCACTTCCCTCTGCCGCTGGCAGCCAGGAGGCCCCAGGGAGCTGATGGAGATTAGGGATGAGGCCTGATGGTGGGAGGCCAGGATGACAGGGGAGCCCCTGTGGGAAGGGGAGGGCAGGCATGAGGGGCGTGGGGGAGGTGGGTGCAGCAGGTGCAAGGAGGGACAGCAGGAACCACGGCCCCCAGTGTGGGTCCCTCTACTCCCTGGGCCCCGGGAGCTCCGAGGATCTGGCGCCAGAAGCCAAGTGGCCCCCAGGCCCAGCAGAGAGGAAAGTGAGCCCCGGGTGGAGTGGGCAAGTCCTGCAACCTCGGGCCTCCCCATGCAGGGGCGTGCACGTGCCGTGACCTGGGCTGACTGGGCTGGCCCCTGGGGGACTCTCGCTCACCACACGCGTCAGGAAAATGTGGTGGTTTAGATTTTTGCCACAGGGTGGGTATACTCAGAGAGACAGGGACAGAGGGGAAGTGGGAAATGACCCCAGGGGAGGGGGCCAGGCCGCAGTCCCTTCTTCACTCAGCCCGAGGGTCTGGGGGACACACAGGAACGTGCCCGATGTGATTTTCTGGGCGGGTCTGGCACTGGAGCCACGGTGGGCCACGTGGGCACCACGCCATCTGCTGGCCTCAGTAAGCCTGAGCCGAATCACTGAGCGGCTCAGCGTCCACCGCCCCGACGTCTGTGAGAGCGGGGAGGGCAGACGAGCGGGGGCTCTGAGCCCGTCTCCTCTGTGAGGCGACCCCGACCAGGCCAGCCCACAAAGCTCTGGGCGTCCCGACGGCCTGGTCATCCGACGTGCGGGGACAGGCGTCCACACGCAGCTCCCCTTGCAAAGACGGCAGCTGGGAAAACGCAGCAGGCCCGGGACAGCAGGTGGCGTAATGGTTACGCTGCCGGTAACCCACAGTCGACTGCGGTTCGAGACCCGGCGGTTCACTCACACCAGGCGTGTGCGTGCACGTGCGCGTGTGCATCCCAGATCCTGAGGAGACTGGAGCAGGGACTGTGGCGGTGTGGCCATCTCCCTGGGGGTGACTTCTCGCTTTCTGTCTCTGTGTCTCTGGCGAGCGCATGCACCCTATAAGTAACAATCTCTTAAAAAAGAAAAAAGAAAGAAAAATACAGCAGGCCCACGTGTGTGCGCGCCCCAAATCCCAAGAACAGTGCAGGAGGGATTGCTTTCTCGCACCTCCTCTGCGTTCGAACGTGCCCACTGGTGAATTAGAACCGAGACCCTGGTGGGTGCTGTCTCTGTCTCTCTGTCATGGAAGAAATAAACTCTCATGGAATAAAAAACGGTGGGCTCTGGGGTCCCCTTTGGCAGGAAGCACGCTACCGGGGCGACTGGTGCGACGTACTGTATTTACCAGTGCTCGCTGGGCCGGCCCCGTGACCCGGGAGTGGAGTCTAGACCCCAGGACCAGCAGGAGGCGGAGTGGTTAGGTCGCTGGACGCCCACACAGTCAACCGTGGTAAGTCTCGGGCCTAGTGGCTTACACTCATGCCAGGTGGCGTGCCACCCCCGGAGTGATTTCTCACCCTGTCTGTCTCATGCAAGTGCCCACCACACGCTAAGAAAACGAAATGTAGAGCCCACACGCTGACCAGATCGAATCCCAGCTTGAAAAACACGCTGACTGCCGTGCGTGCGTGCCCCAAGCCCCGAGCTTGGACGGGTGGAGAAGGGACTGCAGCGTGGGCACCCACAGGGCCAACTTTTGCCCTCCCCCCAACTGCACACACCCTCTAACAATTAAAAATGGTGATTTACTTCCTCTGTGAGCAAGAGGCAGAGACGGAGAGACAGCTCATGCTCGGGACCCAGCAGCGGCGCCCGGCCTGTCGCAGGACTCTCGTGCTGTTACCAGTCCCCTGCGTGGGAACACAGCTCACCGGGTGGGCAGTGTCTCAAGAGGACCAGCTGTCCCGTGGCAGCCGAGGGGCTCCGGGACGCCCTGGCCGCGACAGGGCCGGAGGGGCAGACGGAGCTGGAGGCAGGGGTGGGACGGGAGAGCCGTCCCTGGGTGAAGCCCCCTGCAGCAGCTGGAGGGTGACGCCTGGCAGGGCCCAGCGGGCTCAGGTACTGCTGCTGCTGTCGTCACTGTCCGCGTAGGCCCCCAGCTGGCTCAGGGAGGAGGCGCCAGGTGGCCGGGGTGCGGGGTCGGCAGCCTGCCTGCTCTGCGGGGCACCTGCGGGCAGAGGCGGTAGTCAGCAAACCCGAGGGCAGGCCCAGCCCAGCCCGGCGAGGCCAGAGTGCACAGCCTGGCCCTTCCCGGGGGCACCTGGCAGACTGCAGCAGGCGGAAACCCACAGCCCTGGACCCAGCAGGGCCTCTTGGGAAAACCGGCCCATGGGCACCGGGCCCAGGCAGGTGGAGCGCGTGGTGCAAACTGAGCGGCACCCCAGTCTGGGGTCAAACCACTCGGGGTGGGGACTCAGCTTCCGGCTGGGGGCTGCAGCTCTCTGACCCCCGACTCCTGCCCCGTGACAGGTGGTCGCAGCACTGGGATGTCCAGGGCTCTCTGAGTGTCTAGAGTCGCTGAGTCGGCTCCCACCACTGACCATGTCACAGGGCAGGGGACCGGGCCACACGCACGGGGACGGCTCCATCCCAGGCTGCCAGCTCGGATCCTGGTCTGACCCCTCTGACCCCTGGGCTGTGTGGGAGAACGAGTCGAGAGGACACCCCAGAGAGGTGTGCCCAGGACACCGCCGAGGGCGAGGTGGGAGCCTGGGGCCGCTGACTACGGAGGGTGACCCACGCCTTGGGCCCAGGACTGACCTGGTGCGGGGTGGGCCTGGCCCTGAGGGGTGCCGCCAGGGTGGGTCTTGGCCTTCTTGCGCACGACCAGCCCCGACAGCTGCGGCCGGCTGCCCAGGCTGCTCACGCTGCGCTCCCAGCTCTCCGCCTTCCTCTTGGCCGTCGGGGCCTGCAGGGACGGGGATGAGACACTGGGCGCTCGGAGCCCATCAGCCCGAGGCCTCCCTGCTCTGAGCCCGTGGGACCAGCGGGATCTACAACCCCTGCCTCCCGCGGCGACCAAGCCTCAGCCCCGATCGGACTCCACGGCTCCCCGTCACCGTCGCTCAGAACTGTCGGCCTCGGCCCAGGCGCCCCTGATGCACCCCACCCGCCCTTCCTCACGGCCGTGTCCCTCACCGAGAGCGGCCCCTCACATTCACTCCCGGGTGAACTACACCACCTTCAGCACCCACTTCCCTCATGGCCTCCGAGGCCTCTCCTCGCCATTCCAGCCCGAGTGAGCACAGGTGCAGCCAGCCACGGACTCCCCTCCTGGGCTGAGCCCTGCCCCCCCTGGGCCCTGCAGGGCCCGGACAGCTCCCAGCACCCCCAGGTGCTCAGATGCGTGCTGAGGGGGCGAGCCAGAACCCATCCGCCTTGGGGAGTTGCGGCAGGATCTGCTCCCACTCGGGCACGGCACGAGAACCACTGGGTCAAGGCCCGGCCGGAGCCCTACCGGAGGAGGAATGGGATGGCAGAGGGAGGAGAGGAGGGGCCAGTAAACCAGACCCGAGTCAGGATCAGCTGGCCTGGACGAGGACAAGTCAGAGGGCACCACGCCACTTGGGACGGGTGGCCAGGAAGGCTGGCTGAAGGGGCCCCTGGGTTGTTACCAGACCAAGGAGACCTGGAGGAACACACTCCGGGCAGCGGGAACCGCGAGGCCAAGGGTCTGGGTGGGACTGGGCTGGCAGGTCTGCGAGCAGAGGTGGCGGGGAAGGGGATGCAGGGCAGGGCAGAGGAGGGACCAGCCACCGTGGCCGAAGCTCCGCCCAGCACCAGCTGACGGGAGCCCCGACTGGAGCCCCGGCTGTCCCACCCGGGCGGGTGCACCGCGCCCCTGCAGCAGGCCTGGCCGAGCCGTCCTCTGCTTACGCCCAGCCTGCCCCTGCTGCCTGCTCCTGCGGACCAAGGAGTGCACACGTGCAGAGACGCTCCTTTCTAGGAAGCCCGGGGCTGGCCCCACAGCCTGGTGGTGAAGGTGCCAGGGTCCCACCTGGCCAGCCGTGGCCCGGGTCCCGGCCCAGCAGCTTGGAAAACATGCCAGGCACGTGTGCATGCACGCCCCGAATCCGCAGCTGGAGTTGGAGGAGGGATCGTGGGTGCGTCCTCCCTCTCCCTCTCTCTAACAAGCACCGTGCCCTCTGGCCTACATCTGATCAGAGGGAGGGGCCAGCAGGTGGCGCCGTGGGAGAGGGTGCTGGACTCCCACACGGACAGCGGTGGTTCGAGTCCTGGACCTGGTGCCTTGTTTTACCACTTTTCCCCTCTCTCTCACTTTGTCTCTCTCTGGCCAAATTAAAAATAAGCCAAGTTAAATAAAAAATATTTTTTAAAAAAGATCAAAGAGGAAAAGGACA